GGGGTACAGTCCTGTAAAACTGTGCTCTATAGATGGGAGATATTATTGACAGTATCCCAAGGGAGCTGTCCTCCACAGAGGGAGGGCTTGGGCCTTTCAATCTGTAAACATAAAACATGTGAAATCCCATCCCTTCTAGTCACCAATACTGAAAGCCCGTCTGCTCATGCAACACCCATCACTGTGCTGTCACAGCTGGTACATAGCGTGAAATCGCGCTGGTGTGTTTGGAGGAGCAGATCAGTGACTGAGACAAAACGTGGGGTTTATCGTTTGACTTGGCTTCCCTTTCAGAGCGGTCAGCCTGTATAAAGAGGACGAACCCAATGTTTTTGCGGAACCAGCTGTCTTATCCCGACTGCTGCTCCCCTTCCTCCTTCAGCTGCTAGACAGGGTGCCCGCCGCCACTCGGCTTTGTGACTTCACTCAACGCTGGCTGAAAGCCACCGGACCCAGCATCTTACACAACCTACAGCACTGCAAGCTCTGGTGGGGCCGAGGTACGTAACTACACTGGCATCGCATCTAATCTCTCCCCACGATGGGCAGTCAGATATCCCGCAGTGTCGGCCTTAATACCAAAGCAAAGCTGGTTGCATACATGACACTTTTGTTCATAAAGCACAGATTTGTTTGTTTGTAGGACCTGCACTAATTGCTGCTCTCTTTAACTATGTGGTGCTAGAATAATTGCTTTAAATAAAGTAAAATGGAAGAAGCGGCACATTACTTCCTGCCATATTGCAACTTCAAAGATACGTTAAACTTGGGGTTTAAGTGACTTCATAGTATCCTTTACACTTTTTCAATGTTGTTCTCAGTCAGGTTAATACAGTTCACCTAGGCTCTAGCCCACGATCCACATGTGGAGAAACCTGCTACATTTAAGTGTGTTGTTCCAACATTTCCCCCCATAAACCAGCCTCCCTTCAAACAGCACCAAGGGTGGGACGAACAAAACGAAGAGTGCAAAAGGAAAAGCCAGGGAACAGCCACTATATTCCATAATTGTCCCTTTGCAGGGTCTGTGCCATTGACTGACAATGGTAACTTGTTTTCTGTTTCTTGGCCAAATTCACCACACAGTTCAACTGGCTCCTATTAGTGTATCACAAATAGCGCTTAGAGGTGAAACTGGAGAATGAGAAACAGCTTGGAGGTTTGGGATAACTGGAAATTGCACCCAGAAATCCCCGTAATGTTACCTGCATAATACACTATTTGCCCGTGGCAAGGGAAACTGCAGTAGCATCTCTGTACTAGAGCTGCAGTGCTGGGGAGGGACTGGCTGTGCTCTGTGCAGCCAAGGTAAACTGAGGCAAACGTCCAGAGGAGCTGCCCGGCACTTCTGTAAATGAAGAAAACTAAATAACAAACAGAGATGCTTAGCGTAGGCTTAAGCACGAGCCTGTCTGGGCCATGTGCTGACAAGCCAAGTCAGGTGTTCTCGGAATTCACCTGTGCCAGGAACAGAAAAAAAGCCAGCAGTCCCTGGTAGATATTCATGGCTCTGCACCTTCATGCTGCTGCTGGGAGTGCATGTCAAGCATCACTGAGAGCGGCACTGGTTTTTCAGTGACAGCTTAATTCCTGCCACAGCAACATGGTGCTTTATCTACCCTCTGACGTACATGGGAATTTGGCTCGTAGAGAGGATGGGACAGTGAACAGGACTATTTGCCCTGTCGTCTGTCTCAATAAATTACTTTTGACGGCCACTGATATCCTATACACACCCTAACCCTATTAATGCCTTGTTCTGCTCCCTTTTAGATGCCATCGCACCTTTGCATATGAAAGCTCTGGGGTGTGCAAAGGTGCATGCTGCTGTCACAGCGCTACTAGTGAAGGCTACACTTCTGGCCCATGCTCTGGATGGTCTGGAAAGGATCCACATCAGTGCTTCAGAGATCCACTGCACTTCCCAGGAGCTGAGAAGTGAACTTGTGCTGGTACAGGAACTGCTGGCCCAGCATGGAATGGCCCCCACCTTCAGTTTAGACTATGGGATCACAGATATAAGGTGCTCAGTAAGACCTGTCTGATCATCCTGGGTGGCAGAACTGTGTTGTAGTGAGTTACCACGAGCCATTAGCCAAGGGACAGAGTGTGCTCTCTTTACACTGTGCTTTAGATTTCTGTTCTGAGACACTGCTGGATCTCTGCGCTCACCTTCCTGATTTCTCCTCTGCCAGGAGCCATCCAGAACTGGTAGGTTATTGATGGAACTCAGGTGCTCCCCATTTGCCAGCCAGGAAAGGGAAGTGGTACAGTGTCCTACTACCCGGGATCCAGGCCCCTCTCCCCCTCAGGTTATCCTGGTTCCTCAGATTTATTTTATCAACCACACATTCTCTGGATCAAGCCAGGAGGTGACAGCTTCCAGTTCTTCATTCAGAGGGCAGCTTTACAAATTAGATCACTACCAACATATAATACCAGTGATGGTCTTAGCCCATCATTCTGCTCCTCTCTACCCGAAAGGCATGGGCTCCTTGGTATGCCCGATACTCTCAGGTCAAGACAGCCTTCCCTGTAATGAGGAGGGTTGGAAGCTCTACTCCCGGAAGGACCAGAGAGAACACGTTCTCAAAGGACAGAGGTGACATCTCAAACTCTGATCCCCCTGCTCACCTGATCTTATTTCACTGTTTTTTATCCACGTTTGTGGCTCCTGTTATAAGGAGCCAATAAACATGCTTTTGGCTGAATAAAGCGTCCCTTGGATTTTATCACTAATAAAGAGTCTTAATTGGGTGTTGCTATTATTCAGTGTTATAAAACACTCTGAAACACTTTTCAAATGGAAAATATAGACACCCCAATCAGTTAGCAAATGCCCTGATTCCTCAAATGTTAGTCTCTGACTCTCAAAGCTAGTTACTGCTTCACTTATTCATCCTTGTAGTCTAACTCTAGTCCAAACTGCTGATGCAAAAACAACAATCCCATACCAACAGAGCCTTCATCTTGTCTCAGTTGAGCCCATGCCTCACTGATACAGCCTCTGTCCCAGAATTCCTGGCTTCAGAGTACAAAAGGGACCCTTCATGCGTCACTCCCCAGCTTAATCCAGTGTGATGTAGTGAGAGGGTGGGGAATACATGCAGGCGCTGATCCTGTCTGAGAGCAGATCACACACACACAGTCAGAGCTGCTGCAACTTTCCTTGGCTCCCCTCTTTGTAGGAACTCAAGTGAACGAGTCCCAGGCTGACTGACTCTCTCTTCTTGTCTATCACCTATATACTTCAATGAAACATCTAAACCCTCTTAAGGGAGTGAACTCAGCTATGCTAATCAGTCCAACAGGACTTAAAATACAGAAAGCAACAGCTGTGGCAGAAAAGTGTTATTCTCAAAATGTTTTGGAAATAAAATTTTGAAAGTTTGACATGAAGATTAAGAGCCTGACATTTTAGTTTTAGGCCATTTCAAATGAGATTTAAGATACAGAACTCGAAGGAACCTCCTGTGCCATCGAGTCCAGTCCCCTGCTGTCACAGGTAACCCCATCACTTCACTTCCCGACTCCTTTACCTGTTTATAAAATACAAGCCTAGTCATAAACTGATCAAGCCCCATCTTAAAACTAGTTCAGTTGTTTGCCCCCACGCCTATTGGGAGGCCACTCCAGAACCTCGCACCTCTGATCGTTAGAAACCTTTGTCTCATGGCCAGCTTACACCCATTTGCTCTTGTGCCAGCATTGCCCTCTAGCTTAAATAGCTCTTCACCCTCCCTGGTGTTTACCCTCCTCGTGTATTTATAGGGAGCAATCATACCCCCTTTCAGCCTTCACTTTCCTATGCTGAACAAACCAAGCTCTTTTAGACTCCTCGCCCCTAAATTCAGTCCTCCAGTCCCCAGATCATTCTCGTGGCCCTTCTCCACACCTGCTCCAGTTTGAATTCAGCTTCCCTGTACATGGGCGACCAGAATTGTGCACAGTACTCCAGGTGAGGTCTTTCCAGTGCCTGGCACACTGGCAGTAATACAGCCTCTCTCTTCTGGAAATACCTCACCTGCTACACCCTAGGATCAGATTGGAAGAGGCCCTGGGGGTTTTTCGCCTTTCTCTGTAGCATGGGGCACGGGTCACTTGCACCTTGAAGTCTTTAAACCACAATTTGAAGACTTCAATAGCTCAGGCATAGGTGAGAGGTTTATCGCAGGAGTGGGCGGGTGAGATTCGGTGGCCTGCGTTGTGCAGGAGGTCAGGCGAGATGATCATAATGGTCCCTTCTGACCTTAATATCTATGAATCACAGGTGCCATTTTTATGCCCACAGCAGTGGCATAGCCAAGATAGGACATTTGGGTGGGCCACAACTTTGGGTGGGCGGACAATGACAGGGGAACATGGGGCAGGAGGGATTGGGGGGAACCTGCCTCTCCCCGACGCCCTCTAGCCGGCCTCGCGGGGGGCAATGGATGCTCTGGCCAGGGGCCCCCATGCCCCAAGCACACACCCAGCTCCAGGAGGAGACGCCGTTCTCCAGCGCACACGACTGCAGGCACTTGTCCCCATCCCATCGCGCCAGGCCCAGGTCCCCAGGGCGGCAGGCTTACCTTTTTTGAGGATCTCCTCCGCTGCCGCCAGCCACCTGCTCGCTCACCCGCCCTCCACCCAGCACTCCTGCCAGGGAGCGGGGTCGGGACACGGGGTCTTGCAAGCGCTGGGGCCGGAGCAGAGCCTGCATGCTAAGTGGGTGGGCTGCAGCCCAGCCCTGGGTACACCCCTGGCCCACAGTCCAATTGGTGGTTCATTGTCAACCTGTAATCAACCAGCACACCCCGGTCTTTCTCCTCCTCTGTTGTTCCCGACCGCTGCTCCCCCCCAGGTACACGCGCCCCATCCCCATCCCCCACGGACTGGCACGTGGCTGGGGCCCGACACCCCCCGCTGCTTGTGCGGCCCCCCGATTTCTGCCCCCCAGCTCCCGCTGCATTAAGGGCCGGCTCCGGCTCCCCCCAGGCCAGACCCCGCCTTACCCGCGGGGCGCCCGAGGGGGAGGCGGTGGGGCGCAAAGGCCCCGCCGGGGAAGGGCGCAGCGATGCGGCTGCTGGCCCAGGAACCCAACGAGCCCCCGGGGCCCGGGGCCGGCCCCCGCCCCGCTCCGCTGCGCAGGGGGCCGAGCCGGGCGCCATCCCCAGCGCGGGGGCAGGGCCCCGCCGGGACCCCGCAGCCAGGCCGGGGCGCGGCCCCGCGTGTCGCAGGATACGTGGCACCCGCCCGCTTCCTGCCGCGCTGGGCCCGGGGCGGCCGCCGGCTCCGGCTTCCGGCATGCGAGCGCCGCAGGCAGGTAGGTGCCGCCGGGCCGGGCCGGGCCGCGCCGCGCGGGCTCGCCCCTGCGCAGGGGGCCGCGCCCGGCCTGCGCTGCGCCCCATCTTCAGAGGCGCGGGGCCGCCCGGCAGGGTTCGCCGCTGGAACTCACCCCCACTGGAGCCTGGGGCGGGAAAGCGCCCAGCCCCCTGCGGGGTTAGCCCAGCACTGAAACCATCTGGGGTTTCAGGCCCCGGGGGGGAGCTAAAGGCTGGTGCTTCAGGGCATCAGCCAGGCGCTAGGAATTAAGGGGGAGGAAGAAATTTCCCCATCAGTGGGTTACTGCGTAATTTGAGGGGTGCTTTTACACCTCCTTCTGCAGCATCGGTGCTGGCCCCGGCCCAGAGACGGGATGCTGGGCTCGGTGGACCATGCGCGTAGCGGGTCCAAGGTCCCAGCGTTGAGGTGATGTCCCTCCTGTCTCCCTCTCTCTGGCATGGGTGCCTTCGAAGGCCTGATCCCTGCCCCCCCCAGGGGCATATGCTACAAATTAAAGAGAGGGGCAGGCTTTGCAGAACTGGCTGGCTGCAGCTTGTAATTCTCCAGCTCAAAGTAACCGGTGGCACTTTCACTACAAAGGTCCCGCCTTCAGGGACAGCAGATGCCCTTGTGAGTTGCCACTTGTTGATCCCAGCAAGCTATAGTCCTTGTGGGCTATTCTTCCATGGAGAACGGGATTGGGAGGCAGGAGTCCAGGGTTGTTGTCCTCGGCTTGCTCTGTGACAGACCAGTTGCTTCACCGTCCTTTGCCTCAGTTTCCCTGCATTTCATGTGGTAATTAATTATATTTACCCTCCTTCATAAAGCCCTGTGAAATCCTATATGGTTATATAGGGTAAGTGCTTAATAGCAGTAGGAAGGATTTCGTGCTCTTAAGATGAGACTCCATGCTGTGTTGCAGGCTGGGACCTGTGCTCCGCCAGGCCTCACTTTGGCGTTAAAGGCCAGCGTGGCTGCAGGCAGCTCCGTTGTACGCAGATCCTGTGCACCTCTCAAGCTGTGGCAGTTTGTCAGTGTGGCCTGTGGTTAGGCGTCCATTTGAATCTGTGGCTAAGGCCAAGTTATCTAATGGTAGAGTAATCTTATTTACGTGCTTAAATCACCTGAACTTAAAGCTGCAGAGGGTCCCATGGGTATTGATGGCTGAAACATAATTATCAGCCAGTTGATTGCTCCCAAAAAACCCGAGCGTGGATGGAGTCACGATCCACCTTGTACAATACCCTCTTCTACCTACCTGGGCTCAGTAGGAGCCCCAGCCATGCACTGCAGTTAAGCGGGATCTCATGGTAAATAGTGCCATAATGGTGACTTGTAATTGAATCGCAGGGGCAACATGACCACAGCCAAGCCAAAAAGACTCAAGTTTTCCGAAGAAGAGAAGTTCCTCATCCTTGAAGAATTCAGCCTGCGCAAGGACATCCTGATCCCCAAGAGCGGGCGCTACAAGAACACGATGGACCGTCAGCGAGCGTGGGAAGAGATCACTGCCGCTGTCAACTCCCTCAGCCCGCTTGTGCGGCGCACGCCTGACGAGATCCGCAAGAAGTGGCATAACATGGTCATTGACGCCCGCAAGGAGCTGACCACGGTGAAACACCCTTTGCTGAGGCAGCGGCCCCAGGAGAGGCTCTTCCACAACATCTTTGCTCTCTTCAATAAGACAGGGCCGGAGGTGACAGAACCATTGCTTCTGGGCCCTGGTTTCGGAACGAAGCCGTCCAGCAGCCCGGCTGGAACCGCAGTGCCTCTCTGCGCAGCGGAGGGGATGCGGGAGTCTTCGTCAGACTTATTCCTCCACAGCCAGAATGATGGACTTCGGCTGAGCCAGGGGAACAAACTGCTCTGCAAAACGGAGGTCCTTTCGGACACAGACAAAGAAATGGCACCAAGGACTGGCTGTCCTGGAAAGAGTTTCATCCATGCTCCAGGGGACCCGCAGCCCAGCGATTTGTGCTTGGGTGGAGCTCAAGAGAGTGTGGAAAAGAGACTGTTGGGCCCCAGTAAGGATCCACCGCTGATATGTGCGCCCGTAGCTGAGACACATCCTGTGCCAGTTCACAGGACTACCTCGCCACCGAGCCATGGAGCTGAGGTGCTTGCTCCCGGCAGGACTCCGGTGCCTCTCAACTGCTCCCCAGACTTTGCACTGGCCTATAAGATCAAGTGCCCTTTGAGCCCTATATTCGAATGGCCTTGCCTAGGGATCATCTCAAGCCCAGTCACACAAAGCAGCAGGACTGACAGCCCCAGCTCCGAAGGCATCCACACAGCAATGGATGATAATGGTGAGACAGCCGCACACGCGAGCCAGGCCACGCAGTGCCTGGCTCCTCCTCCTCCTTCCCAGCAGAATTCAGTCTTTTAATTTGTGCATGAAAGGAAGAGGCTATTAGTTACTGGCAGCAGCCTGGCAAACGGGCCAAATCCTGCCTCCCGTTACACCACCATGTAGGTGTAGATGCTACATGCAGTTCAGCAGAGCTACTCTGGATACTTACCAGCGTCACCGAGAGTGGAACTCAGCCTATACTGAGCGGGAGCCATGTGAGCTCTGCCAGTATCTCCCAGCCCTGACCAGTCACCGCCCTGCTCCTGTCTGGAGTACAAATTTCCATCAGTGCCAGATCGCATGGTGGGTGGGAAGAGGCACCAATCTCATTTCACCTGTGACCTGAGCCGGGATTAGTACTTGGTCTTTCCCTGGGGAGAGAGCTGCCTATGCAGCTTTGCCCTCTGTTATAGAGTGCCATTAATAGGCGCCACCCCTGCCTAAGCAGGCCTTTCTTGCCATGGGAGGAGCACGTGGTTATCAAGTGACCATTTAGAATAGATTTTAAGACGCCCGGAATTCCCAAGAATGGACCTTCCCTAGGCTGGCTTTCCTCCCAGCCCATTGCCAAGTGGTTGGGCTAAACATGTCTCCCCCGAGAATGGCTCCGAGTCAGTGAGCAGTGCCCCCAGGGGGGTGTTTGTATCTCCAGTCTGTCAGGGAGCATTTTTCCTACTACCCACTATTAAGATGTCTCTGCAGAAATACAGCCCTGTTCTCCCCTGCTCCGGCTGAGATAACCGTCAAGTTACGCATACTGTTTCCATCCCAGTGCCCAGAGTTGTAAACAGCTTAGAACAGGGGTTCTCAAACTTCATTGCACCGCGACCCCCTTCTGACAACAAAAGTTACTACACAAACCCAGGAGTGGGGACTGAAGCCTGAGCCCACACGAGCCACATCGCTCCAGGTGGGAGGGCCAAAGCCCAAGTCCTACCGCCCCAGGCCAGGGGTGGGGGCAAAGCCCAAGCCCAAGGGCTTCAGCCCCAGGCAGGAGGTCTGTAACCTGAGCCCTGCTGCCCAGGGCTGAAGCTCTTGGGCTTTGGCTCCAGGCAGTGTGGCTCAGGCTTCAACCCCAGATCCCAGCAAGTCTAAGCCAGCCCTGGTGACCCCAGCCCCCATTGGAGTCCTGACCCACAGTTTGAGAACCGCTGGCTTAGAACCATCTTGGTTCCTTACTACTGTAGCAAGAGAGGAAATGCAGGTCAGCTGGAACAGGTCAAATCCAGTGAGAAGGGACACCTTCTTTTAAGAGAGTGGACGTACAATTTGAGGCAGGGGAAAAGTTCCCTGTGTCCATTTTTAGTGTTGCTAAACTGTCCTGAAGCTCCGGATCATGCGTAGAATCGTGCCACAGATCTGCCCCGTATTCCCACTCCTTCTCCAGTGAATCACACTTCACCCCACTCTGCTGTCTGTGTGACCACACTCCTTTCTGAAGCTGGAATGCACTGGACAGTGGCATTAAGGTATCGCTCGCTCCCTTCAGCCCACTGCAGCGAGGGCTTCTCCAGCTCTTCTTCTGTCCAGTTTGCCAAACAGGCTGCTTAGAACTTCAGCACAAGTTGGCAGTGGCCGGCCCCAGGCTGTGTTAACAACCTCCCCATGGCACTATGGTTAAACCTGACAGAAGGGGCAGGGCTTACCCCCCAGGGGAGGGCAGCTGCAGATCTCCCATTGCCATTAAGACAGCCCCACCCTCCACCTTGAGCATGCTCGGGCAGCTTGAAAGAACCTTCATCTGCTCTCGCCACAGGGTCACACCCTGAGTACACAAGCCCATGCTGATTTTGCTTGCTGTTCATCCCCTGAGGTGGCATGGGAGGCTGTCCCATGGCCTGGCTCACTGGCAGCACTAAGTGAAATTAGTTATAAGGTGCTGGTACAGCTTTAAATGCCCGTTTGTAGCATCTGGCACTGCAGGCATCACCACTATTTGATGCTTGGCATGACTCTTTTTCGAGGACATCAGAGCTACCCCACCTCTCGTGTCTAGGTAAATTATGTGGGTAACAGAAGGGGAGTAGCAAGGCGGGAGAGAGGAAAAGAAGCCAGAGGTAACCAGGGAAAGACAAGAGAGAAGACATGGGCGGGGAGGGGATGTTCGATCAGAAAGAGCATCTCTGTAGAGCTGCTTCCTGTAGCCAGGATGAGCTTTCCTGGCTGCAGGACAGAGCAGTGGTAGATCACTGGCCCTGGCAGAATTGAGACATGACCCTTATTTTGAGGAGGCTGGATCCTGCTGTTTGTGGCGGGTGGGACATTGCCCCACAGGGGCTGGTTTCTGGGAGGAACTGTGCATTTCTGTGTTCTCTTGACTCCGTTTGCTTTAACCATTTGGGGGGTTGTTGTTTGGTTTGTTCAGCAAGCACCTCTGTGACCGAAGATTCGCTGCCCAGCCAGAGGGGTTGTGTCGGGCCAGCCAAGGAGCTTCGGGAGACGCACAGCCGGCTGCACACCGAGATCCTGGAGCTGCAGAAAGAGACCTTGCAGCTGCAGAAGGAAAAGATCCTGCTGGAGAAAGAGAAACTCTTACTGGAAATTGTCAAACTGCGGCGAGAGCTGGACACGTGACCATCTGCCGGGGAATGATCCTGCCCCTCCACAGTCCGGGGAGCTCAGAGCCCAGTTCAGACCCGCTCGGCTCCAAGTACCCTGTTCTCTGGAACTTCATGTGCTTAAGTGAAAAAAGAATTGCTTGCTCCTCCGAATGAGCAGGAGAGAACTGAGCTGGTGCTGACCCTCACAGACGTGAATGGCAGGGACTCTGTTTCCTGTGCAGAAAAGACCAGAGAAATCACTCCACCGATGCTCTTAACCTGCAGTGAGAGCCACACCCAGACATCGGGGGGCACCTGTTGTGGCTTTGGTGGCAGAGCGTAAAACTCGCATAGGTTTGGGAGAGCCACAGCACCAAGGAAATAACTCTGCGTGGGCCTGCACGGGGCCCCGCCCTCAGCAGGGCGCCAGAGCAGTCCACGGGCCAGGGAAGAGGGGTCGTATCTGTGTATGGAACAGCAGCACAGTGCTTCACCCCGGGCTTCACCTGCTGTATCGCGCATTGCAGAGAAGACTGGACATGTAGCCATGCCATTGCTTCCTGCCTCTGCAGGGCCTTCCCCCTTTAGCCACGAGCAGGGAATTTAAACCAGTATCTTCTTTTTTCCATGGTGATATAAACTTACTAAGTAGAGAACCAGCTTAGCAGCCCACTCCCTTTGCAAGCCAGGATCCAGCCCTGTATTACAGTGTAGGGAGCTACGGGGCAAAGCCTAAGGGTCTTTCTCAGGGCCAACTCCTGGAGAAGAGAGCGGGAGTTTTACCTGAGTAAGAACTTAGGGTTTGGCCTTTAATGATTAAGTATTAAGTTAAAATAAACAAGTGAGCACAACCAGACTCATTCCCTGCTGGCACTGCCTGGTTTTCTGCTCTCTTCTTATTGCCAGAGGCAACAAGAACCTGAGCGCACCCAGGGGTCTGCTTGCTTTGACCTACCCTTATGAGGATTGTCTGTCTCATGTCTAAGATGGATAGTCTGAGTTTCTCCCAAATACCTTAGGGGGCACACCTACTCCTAGCCACTTCCTCATCCTGTCCAGCTGGGCCACAGTTCAGGAATGGCCTTGTTTATGACTTTCTTAGTGTTCATTTTAGTGCTTGGGAAAGTGCCTTGCTATTGACACTAGCTAGAGCTGGACATGACCCCAGCAGATACTACAAACTTCCCACACAACTCTGCCAAAGAATCTCCAGTGTGACTTGGATCAGCCTTGCCAATGACAGTCCCGGTCCATCACTTCTGCTCGTCCCAAGGCATGTGGTGGTTTTGGGATGCAAGCAAAAGCCCCCAGAGAACTAGGTCAGAGGGATTAGATTGATCAGAGATGACCTCTTTTCAGCTGGGAACAGAGGCATCCAGAAGTGAAAGGTCATTGCACTAGTCTACTGCAAGCATCATCTTCCTGCATTACCATCTTATCTCCAGCGCTCTCTTTGGTGGGGATCCTTGCATGGGGAGGAAGCGAGTCTCCTGGGGAATTCCTCCCTCCCATGATACAGAACCATTCCCAGAGGCCCACCTGCTGACGTATTCCGAGGGCTGCCTGAGTCGAGACCTCAGGATTTGTCTGGAGGAGCAGCTCCACCCTGGGAGAGGACATCGGGAGTGAGCATTGTGGTGGTTGGATGAGGCCAGAGCGGCGTTGATGGGGGTTGCTCTGATGCAGCTCTTGCCCAAGGGAATGGTGGGGAGAGTGTTTTAAATGCTGGGGCTGGATAAGGTTCCATCTCGTTTGGTTGCATTCCGCTCCCTGGACATTTGGAAGCCCGACGACTCCGGTAGCATTTGAGGTTTTTAGCGAGCTCAGCTGGTGCTGTGACGAGCAGCTGTACCAGGAACTGGCACGGGGGCCGAGCCAAATAAACCTGATCTCTTCAGAAAGAAAACCCCTGTGAGATGTCTAGTGTGGGGTAGGTCAGGTTACTGCACGTCACCATGTGAAACAAAATAGGACATTCAAAAGCTAATGTGGGATCTGGGAGCCAGAATGTGGTGACACCTCTCAGATTGCAGCACAGTAGCTTGTGGGGACCAGCATAACAAGCGTACAGACTGGCTGTCTCTCTTGAGGGACCATGGGTGTCCATAGGGAACGTAATACATTTGAAAAGTAACCTAATGCTTCAGGTGGTGTTCAGATTGGCATCTTCTGCTCACAGGAAATAACCCAGTTTGCATGGGTAGCTGCCACTTGATTTCACTTCCCTTTGTCTTACCCGGGAATCCCAATGATTGCAGTGACAAGCAAAACAGTATCCATGCTTATTCCCCTGCCAGTGACTCCAACTCTTACCTGCCAGCCCTGCCAAATTAACCTTGATCCTGCAGCTAAGCTGGGCTCTTTCCTTTGTATGCATTGTCACTAGTGACCCTGGCCCCGGCATACAACTGAGGCTGCATGGCTCAGGGTTACATTTGGCAGCTTGAAATACTGTGGTGGTTGAACTAAGTAAGTTTGAAACTTAGCTACTTCTCACATAGCACAAGTGAGGGCTAGGCATTTCCTAGCACTTAGAACAGGAAGCTGGAAGTTAGGACCCTGATGGGTGCTCTCTACGAGGAGAGGCTGAGGGAACTGTGGTTATTTAGTCTGCAGAAGAGAAGAGTGAGGGGGGATTTGATAGCAGCCTTCCACTACCTGAAGGGGGCTCCCAAAGAGGATGGAGCTCGGCTGTTCTCAGTGGTGGCAGATGACAGAACAGGGAGAAATGGTCTCAAGTTGCAGTGGGGGAGGTCTAGGTTGGATATTAGGAAACACTGTTTCACTAGGAGGGTGGTGAAGCACTGGAATGGGTTACCTAGGGAGATGGTGGAATCTCCATCCTTAGAGGTTTTTAAGGCTCGACTTGATAAAGCCCTGGCTGGGATGATTTACTTGGGGACTGGCCCTGCTTTGAGCTGGGGGTTGGACTAGATACCTCCTGAGGTCCCTTCCAACCCTGATCTTCCCTGATTCTCTGAGCTCTAACACTGGAACCTTGAGCAAGCCAGCTAACCTCAGCATTTCAATTTCCTCACTGAGGATAATAGTTACTTACTAAAGTCAGGATTTGAAATCATACTTCACGGTCAAGATTCACAGACGTATTATTTTCATAAGTTAGACTGGCACTGAGGATCTCCTCCAGGGTTAGCATCCCCAAGCAAAAGACCAACCGCAGAAAGCAAATTCATTTTGCAATACTCTAAAGTTTTTTTAGTTTCATGTAGTATAGTTGCGGAAAGTAGGGGTGACAGAGCATCTATCTCCTTTGCCCTGCAGAGGGCACTAGATGTCACTCCTGCTGGTTTTGAAGGCATCATTTGATGGCAAAACAGCCCTACTGGGAGGGAGCAGAAGCAGAGCAGCGGTTCTCCACGGATATTGATGCATGGTTTATGAAGCCATCCTTTTGGCACCAGGGACAGGCTCCATCTGTCTGCTATAATTTCCATGCACAAATGGACAACACCCGTTCCCCCTGAGGCACTGTCGTCTTGTAGAGGCCCAGCTGGTCAGGGACTTCATAGGCACCGTAGACCTTTCACGCCTGCTTCAGTTCACACAACCATCAGACCCTCTCCGCCCCATCCATTACATGCCTGGAGTCCCACTTTTATTTCCACTAAACATGCTTAAAGCAGCGGCTGTGGAAGCCTTTTTGTGCAGGTTAATGAAATGGATCCCACGTCACTTCCCACCTTTGCCCTTGTCGCCATGGCTGTGGCCCACTCAGCTGCCCGCGTTGCATGTTTGCTTCTGGGAGGATAGAGCTCTGTGAGCAGCAGAGCATGGAGTCCAGGGTTAAGCACTCGGTGTGGCCCTCTGCACTGAGCAGGAGGGATTCTCAAGCACCCTGCTCCTCTTGCAGTGTGTAAGGTACTACGGGATGATGGGGAGAGAAGGGGACATGTGCAGATCAGTGCACTGAAGTACACATTTCCTGTCAGGCTAATGTGCTTAGCTATCTGCTCTCTCATAGGCCTTACTCTGAGTTCTTAGCAGGAATGTCTGCATAAGCAGTACTCCCATGAATCCTCCTGCACTCCCCAGGCATGACTTAGGCAATGCAGGCTGCCATGGGTGTTCTTTAGAGTCTGATAAGAACCAGCTGGGCATAGTTAAGGGTCCGGGGGGGGAGCCTGCAAGTGCCCACCAAACAGCTGTGCTCCCTGCCTGATCAAACCCTGCCGACTCTGTTAGTTTCCTCTCTTTGATGGGCCCTGTGGGTACATAATGTGAGCTGCCTGTTTGGGAAGACAGGACTATCTGGGGAGAGGGTTAGATTGGCTGCTGTTGGGGGTGAATGCCTCTCCAAGTTCTTAGCACTTGCTCAAAGCTCCATAGGCCAAGGAGCTGGGGGGTCATGGCCTGACCACTTTTAAGCAGCAATCCCATACTAATGTGTACGGCTGCTGCCTGAGCAGTCTGGCGCATACAGCCGGAGGGGCAGCCAGGCCAAATTTCAGAGTGTGGTGATGTGATCTGGCGCATGAGATCACATCACCAAGCAAAGTTGGCCTGGCCACTCCTCTATGCAGAAAAGTGGCTGGGCCAAATGGTGCTGTGACCTAGCACCCAGGATTCTCTTTCTGTATGGCAGAGTGCAGGGGAGCCTGGTGAGAACTCATCTCTTGGTAGCACCAGCTCATGTCCTGTGTGGGTAGGAGAGAGGGAGGTTCCCAGGCCAAGGAAGACCCAGGACCCCTGGGGGGAGCAGGGAATGAGTAAGGACAGGAATGGGGTGCCTGCTGTCTGGGGAGAAAGGGACTGGAGTTTGCTTCCCCCTCCCCTGAAATACCTGAATTGGCACTACTGGTTCAGAATCAGGATCTGACCATCCCCGGAGTTCAGATCAGCCCACAGAACACAGAGGGCTCAGCCAGAACCTTTGGATCCCGATTTGTTTTCTTACAAATTTTCAGGGCTTTTGGCTCAGATCCGCATTGAATCATCTCTGTGCTGAGCGAGGAGCAATGGCCCCTGTATCACACCTCTTCCCAGCTGCGCAAAGCACTCCTTGCGTATTCCACCAGAGCATCATGAAAAACACTCCAGCTCTTTGCAGGCAGCGATCAACATTTGTGTGAACAGCCCTCAGAGCTGAGACATATTGTCCACTCACCAAACAGCTGGTACCAGTCAAATTACTAAGCCAGCCCAGAACTGCGGGAGGTAAATGAGCATTCAAAGCCTCTGGCCTAGTTAATTCACAGCCTAACCCTGGCACTGGTTATTCATACCAAAGAAATGCTTTCGACTTCCTTTGAGGATAAACAGAATGCGTGAATCAGACAGGAGGGAGAGATAGTCTCATGTACAAGTTCTCTTTCTAAGCTATATTACCTTTGACAAGTGATTGATAGAAACCATCCTGCTGGATTTCTACGTCCGCTTTTTCAAAGCGGAAATTACTCACTTGGTTTTAGGTAGTTGTTACAAGACAGGATGACCCGCACAGCCTGCTTTGTACCCTCTCTTTTAGCCAGCCTGTGATAGTGGAGGGGAACAATCAATGTACACTACAAGGTGTGGGTGTGTAAAGCGGGTGTGCTAACATCATCCTGGGTGTAATTTGGGGGTGAGGGTGTCAATGGCATTTAGCCCAGTGGGGTTTTGCCAAGGAGAAGCATTTAGGAAAAATGAACGGATCTTAGAAGGAATTATGGCAGCTTCAGGGAGCAGCTGTCAGTAGCACAAGGCAATGGTGAGAAAGCACCCTTCTTAGCAATTGCACTGAAGGCACTAAGGAGACTTACCAGCTCAGAGGGGGAGAAAGGCAGCCACCAGTGGAAAATGGCTCCAGTAGGGCTGCAGATGCTTGGCTCCGCCCTATTTAAAGGGCCAGCCCTTGAAAGGCCTGCTGGGAAAAGGGGGCAACCCGAGAGTGGGGAGAGTAAGTAGGGGACAAGCTGCCGCAAAGGGAGGGGCTCGAGGTTGCTACAGCAGAGCTTGTACATCCTGGCAGTGATGGTGCTGGGTCACAAGCACTTCCCAGCCAAACATCAACGGCTTGAACCTTGAGTGGGAGAAGAAGGATTTTCTGGCTTGGAGGAGCCAGCTGCAGGGACCCCGGCAGACCCTGGACACAGGCTGCAGCAAGTGCAGCATGGGAGCTAGGCACGTTATGTGGGCGTCTCTTTAAGGCCTGATTCTGCACGGGCCTAATCCCCTCCCGTTAAGCCAATGGGAGCTGAGTGCCCTTGGTGAACAGGCTGGGCCCGCTCCTGCTAGCCCCAGCCAGGGAGTCTCAGGCTCCTCATACACGTCAGACTGAGAAGCCTTGCTCCAGCCTGCTGCAGGGCTGTTTGCTTTTCCAGCCTGTGGCGTTCACGGCTCTGCTCCTCAAACAGGGTCATTCGCTGAGACCGGGGCAGCCCCGGGCAGGGAACAAGCTGCCATTTGTAAATGCTCGTGAGGTGCTGGGATAAGTCCGGCTTGAGTGTCTCTAAATCCCCCCCTTAAAGGCCCTGTAGCCCTTCTCAGCCTGCCACCTGGGAGGGGTCCATGCCGTATCTAATGCCCTCCCCCCGGGTCTAGAGCAGAGCCAAAGCATTGGGGCGCGATCATTTCGCAGCCACACAGTCCGTGTGCTGGTTGCTGAGCACTGTTACTCTCTAGGGTGCTTCCCCTCTGCTGGCTGCAGAAAGCCCTGGGGATGAGTTGGTCCTTTGGGGTGCAGTCACTGTCACAGCTCCTAGCTCCCTGGTGGGCCCAGGCTCCCCCTGCATTGCCTGGAGTGAGTTAAGTGCCTAAAGAAGGGATTCTCAGAAGCCAGCGAAGCGAGGGTATGTCTGCACGGCCATGGGAGGTGTGACTGCAGCAGGCATAGGCCTCCCCAAGCCAGCCTGCCCTGACCTAGCTTGAGTCACCCCAGCAGCGCAGCACGGCCTCACCACTCGCGTCTGGTCGGGGTCCTGGGCGGGGTTGGTCGCGGAAGGTGCTGCCAGCCCACGTGGCTAATGTTACTTGAGCTAGCTGTGATGGAGCTGGATCCGAGCGAGCTCGGGTATGTCTGCAGGGGCTGCTCTCACACACCCGTCACAGTGTCGACATATCCCAAGGGGGAGCCACCTACGCTGGGCAGTCGGACATGCTGCAGTGAGGGGCAGGGCTTAAACCCAGCTCTTCCAAGGTACTTAGGTGCCTGACTGATGGGCTAGAAGGAGGCACCTCTCTCTGCTTCCGATGAAGTGAGCAGTAGCTCACGAAAGCTTATGCTCAAATAAATTGGTTAGTCTCTAAGGTGCCACAAGTACTCCTTTTCTTTTTGCGAATACAGACTAACACGGCTGCTACTCTGAAATCTCTCTGCTTGTGTTTCTCAGCTGCGTACCCTCTCCTGGAGGGAGGCGCCTAAGCCAGGGGGATGTAGTCTCAGGGAAAATAGGAACCACATACACCCGCCCCATTATAGCCAATGCAGCTGGGATTCAAACCACTGCTCTGCCTGATTTGGAGCAGGGAGTTGAAGCCATGACCCTAAGCAGCAGGCAATTGGCTACTCTCTCAAGCTCTTCTGTTGGAGCTGGACTTTGCATAACTAGCTACAGCTGTATTGAGCCAGAGGCTACGGCAGTCCCCTGGAACATAAGAGAAGCAGGCTCAAGCCCTGCTCCAGAGCGCACAGAGTGGAGATTCACACCTGGAGCAGTGCTGACCACCCCAGCAAGAGCCCTAACCCTTACAGGCAACACCCACCCCTTTGCGCTATCTTCCCAGCCTGCTTGTTCTTGGCTGTCTTGGGGCAGTTAGGCATGCTCTGAGGGACCATCATGTATGATACGGCTTTGCAAAGCCAAGCACAATGGGGGTGCTGAGCTCGTTGGGGCTTTACATGCTATTGCAGTACCAGTGGCAGCTACGGAGCTGGAGCAAATGATCGGACAGGCAGCTGCTTCTATCTCCAAGTTCTGTGATTCTGGGGAAACTGAGGCGCAGAAGGGTGAGAGCCAACATTTTCAAACTTGAATACACACCCCTAGGCATAAAAATTCACGTAGAGCAAGGGTCTGATTTTTGCATGTGGATGTAAGGACCTACAGCTGTGCACCCATGTCTGAAAGCATTGGCCTTAGCACCCTGGCTTTCTGGAACTGCCTTGTTTGAATAATGTTACTCTTAACAAACTGAGCTCTGTTCACAGGCCCGGCTGTGTTGACACTTTCATTTTTGTCCGGGAACACGGGTGTGTTTAAATGGTCTGGGATGCTGGCTTGGCCGGGGAGGGAGCCGCAGGGCTAAAAGCCAAGCTCCATCCAGCCTGTGTGATTGTTCAGGCAGAGGAATGTGGGGAATATTTCATTGCCTCCTCTCCCACCAGGCTTTGTGAGCTCTCGTCTCCTTCACATGGCCCGCTTCTGAGGGAACTGCTTTGGGTTGGGGAGCAAATAGTTCCTGCTGGAGCCAGAAGCAAAAACCTGCCCTGCTCCATGGCAGCATAAATCTGCCTCTCTATGTGACATCTCGCCCGACACGGCAACTTTGCACAAGCAGCTATGCACCCCTGTGCAAAGCTACGGTCCCGGGTGAGAGAAGCACTGATGCAGGAACCCTAAAAGGGACGGCAGCTGGGACTGGGTCGGCATTTGGGCCTCACACGATCACCAATCCCCAACAAGCTTCACATTCCTAGGCCATCTCTAGGAGGGGCCTACGCTGCCTGGAAATCAAACAAGCTTCTCCAATGCAGCTCCCTTTTGCCAAGGTCTCCTTTCACTCTGGGCCTCTCTCTGACATCCCACTCCCTCACTGTTCCCTCTGTTAGGACTCATCTCTCTTTTTCCTCCCTTCAGCAGTGCCCTTTGCCATCCATCTCCCCCACTCTGATATCCCCGTGTCTGAGCTGCATGGAGCTGGGGTGCACAAGGGCCTGACCCAGCTCTCTCCTATGTCAAAGTATAAGGGCCAGCTGTATGACAATGGCCCTGAGAACTGGACTATCCCCCCCCCTCTGTTCAGTGCTGCTAATTCCAGCAATTGCTGCTGTCAGGGCCGATCAGGCACTGAGCCAAAGACTTGGGTGATCCTATGTCCCGTTTTGGCAGGGGCAGTCCCTTCTTTAAAGGTCAGGTGGCAAGAGCAAACGGGACAAATGCACAGTTTTGCCAAAAAAGTGGGGTGTGACCCCTAGCAGGGCCTGGAGGAACATATGGAGGGGCGAGGGGGCAAGCAGCAACGCCAGCCCTGTACGGGAGGGAGGGCTTGGGAGAGCAGCTTGGGCTGGGCCAGCCCAGCACAGGTCGCAGCAGGGGGCCTCAGGCTGACCCCACAGGGGCAGGCAATGGGGGGAGAAAAAGGGGAGGGGTGGTCTGGCCAGCCCTGCAGGCAGGAAGCAGGGAGGGCCAGGGGGAGTCCCAGACAAAGCAATGGTGAAGGTTAAGCTGGGTTCAAGGGGCGTGGCTGACACATCCCTTTCTCCCATGGGCCATTTCAGGGCAACAAAGCATTGTGCTGAACTGGCCAAAGCAGGTGGGCTCCACCTACCGTTTGAGTGGCGAGTAGAGTCCGGCGAGCAGCGCGCGCTAGGCAGTCATGACAGCGAGACCCCTTGGGGCAGGTGGTTTTCTGACTGCACGTGCCTGGAATTGACGGGGCGAGCGTCTGGGCCAGCACGGAGCAGGTGGCCTCAGCGTTGGGGGACACGCAGCACCTTGGTGAAGGCAGATAGGGAAAGGGGGACCTCACGGAGGAGCAACCATCCCCTTCCCCTCGCCCTAGGCGCCGACTCCGTGGGTGCTCCGGGGCTGGAGCACCCACGGGGAAAAATTAGTGGGTGCTCTGCACCCAGTGGCAGCCAAGCTCCCCCCCCACACCTCCCCTGAGCATGCCACCGCTTCTCCGCCTACCTCCCCACGCCTTCCGCCGCCAATCAGCTGTAGCAAGTGGCGGGAGGGAGGCAATTTATTGGACTAGACATGTCTATGCTCTGCTCTAGCAGTAGGACGCTATGGAATAAATGGAGTGGGAACGGGGCACGCTTAGGGGAGGAGGCGGGGCCGGGATTTGGGGAAAGGGTAGGAATAGGGGCAGGGAGGGGGCAGAGACTTTGCGGAATGGGGGTGGGAGGGGGTGGGGTCGAGCACCCCCCGGCGCCAGTAGAAGTCGGCACCTAGGCCCCTCGCAGAGGATAGTCACTGCAACAGAGCAGACCCCTTTGGCCTGGAGAAACCTGAGAGGCTGTGAAAGGCTCCCCCCCCAGGCCAAGGAGCCATGAGGAGCTGAAGCCTGCAGCTTCGTGGCAATGACTCATGGTGCCTGGCCAGGTTTGATTCAGTCGAGGCTGCAGGCTCCACTCTGAGGGCACAGGGCTGAGGCTCGATGCAGAGGTGGGGTGTATAGGTCTCACCCCTCCAATGACAGGAGTTTTAAGCTACAGCAAAGGCTGGTTAATGCTGCAGTTTCATGGCCATGGCATGGTGCTTTCCTCCACTTGTTCCCTGCTGCCATGGTGTGTCGGCCCCTCAGGCTGGCAGGGCAGCGGGGCTGTGCCCTCCAACACAAAGGGAGGCTGTTCTGTGAGACTCCCTGTTGACTTCCATTCCTCAGAGCTCACCTCTATCCTGACTCCGCTTCCCCAGCTCAGCGAGTGAGACCTCCCATGTCATGGGCTGATCGAGGAGGCCACACAGCACTCGGCCCAGCTCAGCTCACCAGGGGTTACAGCCAAGGGCTGGTCTATTCGTGGTGAAGACACCTTAGCTGACAATGTGCTCTCAGAGTACACTCACGAATAGGGTGACTAGACAGCAAGTGTGAAAAATCGGGACGGGGTAGGGGGGGTAATAGGCACCTATATAAGGCAAAGCCCCAAAAAATCAGGACTGTCCCTGTAAGATCAGGACATCTGGTCATCCTACTCCCAAAAGTCACCGGGCAGCTGCCTCCTACCAAACGCCCTGGCTAAGAGCAAGACTCCACACCCTCAGCCTGTACTTTCCTTTCCCCATTCAGCAGAAGAGCGGCAGAGGGCTTGGAGCACAGAACTACAGTACCACAATGAGGGCCCATCCCACGCCTACTGAAGTCAGTGGAAAGACTCACGCGGACATCAGACCATCAAAGCAGAAGTTGGACCAGCTGTGTGCAATCCTGAACACACCCCTGTGTGTTGGGACAGGTCCCAACACCCACGGGTGATGCCTGGCAAGCCTAGAGATGGGTGGGTCCCTACGGCTCTGTTTACACAGCCTGGCTGCACTCGGAAGGAGCAGGACTACAGCTCAGAGCTCTCTGGACTCTGGAAAACGGGGCTGCTGACTGGGGAAACAGCTTGAGAGCCTTGACCACCCAGGCCCTCCCAGAAAGAAACAGCCTGTACGTTTCTTCCCCACCCATTTCCTGGAGGCCTAGGACTGTGCTTCTTGTGGGCTGCAGAAGCATACTAACCCCCTCTGTACGGGAGCAGTGGCCCTAAACAGCAGAGTCAGAGGGCTGTGCTCCAGGCTCTGTCTCTCCCCTCGCCCCAAGGGAGCACTAGAGAGGTACAGCCTGCTGCACCATGCATGATCCCAGGATCAAAGTCATCCAGCAGAAGAGTCACATTAGGATGGGCTGGACCCCAGTATGGATGAAAAAAAAAAAAAGAATGCCGCTCAGAAAGAGCTGGAGGGGCTCAGGGCAGTAACTGGTTCCACACACTTTGGTCGTACTGGAGGGTAAATCCATTTTGGGATGAAGTAATACAGAGACTAAAATGTGCTTTGGAAACTGGCATCCCCTAACGACTCATTTTCTGATACTAGGAGATTTTCGAGACCTTGACAATCTGAATGGACCACATAAAAATGCCCTTTTAAGAGCAACAGCTGTTGCAAAAAGGATAATGCTACATAATGGAGCTTGATTGTCACGGATGGGTGACAAGGCAAAGCAAACAGGACAATTTGTGATAAGCCGGAGGAGTTATGTCCATCCTGTCTATATACATAAGACTGCCATTACAGCAATATTACCTAGAAAAGTTGTCATACACAGCTATATTTATGGCAAAGCATTTGTGTTGTCGGTATATAAAATGTGCACCTCTCCCCCCATCCCTTACCCTTTAAAGAGAAATTAAACCGGGGGATGGGGGGGACATTTAACAAATGTTGCATTTAAGGGTGCTTTGGGGGAGGTTACATTACACACTTCAGTTACAGTAATTCAATTATAATGTACCAAACATACCCTGTATCTATCTCCACTCCCTTTGAAATCACCCTCCTCTCAGAGCACTGGAGAAATACAATGGATTATCGAAAGGCATGACTTTCACTTGGTGATCTAGGGGTTAAGTGTAATTCAAATCAAATTAAGCAAAACCTCAGGGGTGTTCAGTTTAATCCAGGCAAAACCCACGACTGGAGGCAATTTATTGGACTCGGCAGGTCTATGCTCTGCTCTAGCAGTAGGACGCTATGGAATAAATTATGTTACAGATTGAGTGGATTACTTAGGGTTTAGAAACAAGTCAAGAACTTGTGAGGAACCAGCTAAGTGACTAGTTTAGATGGTCTCTAAGAAAGTCATGGGAGTAAATTGGCGTTTTCCTAACATCCCGCGTTAACCTGAATTCACACTCACCATTTTCCTAGCTCGGAACCCTCTAGGATCTGTACCATCTTCAGTCATATGATCCATCTTTATCCTAGAAAGAAAAGGGATTATAATGGCGAAGAATATTAATCCAACCACGCCCCTTAAGTTTTCTACTGTCTTTATTCAAAGTAACTCAAGAACATGTTATTGTGCAACAGCAGACCTGGCATAGCCTATGGCTGTGGAGACATGAAGCGATAAGGTTCAGAACAATTACTACGCTATTCAAAACCTGGAAAAAGCCATGCTTGTTTCACTCCAGAATCATGTTAATTTAAAAAGACACGGGAGCAACACTACGAATTCCAAATTCCAGTTCTCTGGTACATACAGAAATGGTGACAAGCTCTTGTACTATATGGATCTCGGTGGACCTTAGAGCAACAGGAAAAGCCAGAAGTATAAGCAAAAAGAAGAGGAGTACTTGTGGCACCTTAGAGACTAACAAATTTT